GGATAGAATATATAGTGAGGAATATTGCGTACAGCACTCATGAGAATGATAGAGGACAAGTTAGCAGAAGACCACTATACCTAGCTGTGTGCGGCCAATGCCCCCGCCCCCACACAAAGGCTGGGGGAAATGAGGAAAAAGGAAGAGGGGCCGACCAAGGGCAAGATGGATGGATAAGATTCTTCAAATGACTGGATTGACCTTGAAGGTGCTGGGAGTGGTGATGGCCGAAAGGGAGCTCTGGCGTGGGCTGAAACGACTGAATGAATGAACAAAAAAAAAACTGACTTAATTTATCTACGGAAAAAAGGAGACTTTCCATTTATTTCCAGGTTGGAGAAAAAAGACCTCATCAGCTTCTAAAGAAATCTGAGTGAATTTGAAAGGGTCAAAATCACCAAATATATTTTCATTCTTTGGTCAATTGGTGAAGAACATGTGAGAAATATCCATGCACTATACCAACCCATTATTGACCCTGGATCAACTCATTTGGATTCATCTTTGAAAGGACAGAAGAAAGCAACAATACTTTCACAAGGGAGGAAGAATGCTTATAAAGACCAGACTCCTCTTCTTTAAAATATACTCTACCACTAGCTAATCTGTTCAGTGTTTTAATGTAAAATCTCATTTTCATCCGTTTCACCAGTAACAATAACTGGTGCCTCCAAATGTGGTTGAACTATAACTCCCAGCTCTCAAAATTGGCTACGGCTGCTGTTACAGTATACCAACATTTGGAGGGCTGCATGAGTTGCACCCTTGACTTGGTGAATGGAAACAGAGAAGGCAACTATATTAACTATGCCCTAACTTTATAGCAGATCTTTGGTTCTTGCAGACTGCCTGGCATTATAAATAGATAGATGAACAACTCACCTCCTGTAAGCCATGCCCGTGAGAAGCTCATGCATGTAATTTATTTCTTCCAAACCTAGAGGATGAAAATAAATTATAATTCTTAATTAAAGTAATACAAAAATGGCAAAAGTCACTTGGAGGCTTGCTCAGTTACATGTGATTATCACACCTTTGTGTGGTTTGCATTCAAACTTTGATGGTCAAGTGCTCAGATCAGAGTTTATATTTATGTTTTCATGCCACTGCCATGACATGGTGTTCTCTGAATGCCAACAACCTTCAATTAACAGTTATGATTCATCTTATTCTACAGTAAACATCCAACCCTCTCCTGAGAGACAAAGTGTACTGTTCAAACCAGGGCTCCTTGAACAAAGTTGGTGAAACTGGAATTCAGCAGGAAGCAAAGGATTTCAACTGACCAGACCATGGCTGAAGGTTTTGATTTGCACCTCATTTGGCCAATCTGTACGTTTCATATTATGTGCCAGTGGAAGACTAATACTGCTATTCTGTTCGATACCTGAAGGAGGTGCTATGCCTTGAAGTGCTCTCTCTAAGAATGTCTAGGTCCTCTGGCACAACTCTGGTCATCTTTGGGCAAAAATTGACATTCAGCAGTGCTTCTTAAACTGTGGATCCTGACCCTAAATGAGGTCCCCTTAGCCCAATGTTGAGGTCACGAAAAATTTGGCAACAATACAAAGTTTCTGAATTCTACCCACTTACACAAATCTGTTAACAATGACACGCAGCGTTTACAGTGGACTCTTCAGAAAATGCTTTAGCTGTACTCCAAGAAAAAGAAAATCAGCCTGTTTAGCAAGTCTTGCATATGCTGATTTATTTTCAGTAGATGTTTTATTTTTATTCCTATTTTATATACCAATATTCCCGGGATCTTTTTTTTAAGAGAGCGATTACAAACAATTTAGGTTTCTTTTTTCATAAGAAATTACCATAAACATACATTTTCTTCATATTCAAAATTTTTCAGAAATCAAACAATGGTTTGATATGTTTTTAATTATTGTTTTAATATATATGTTTATTTTATTTTGTTATGTATGTGTGTTTACATAGCATCAAATTGTTGCCTTTATATGTAAACCACCTTGAGTCACCTACTGGATTGAGAAAGGCGGGGTATAAATAGGCTAAATAAAAAAATAAAAGCGAAATCAGAATGGATTAATCCATCCAACTAGCCCATAAGCTTTGAAGAATTCTTTTTAAAGTTTTGTTTCTGAGTCCTCACATTTTTCAGACATGTAACTGGTGCTTAACAGGATTTGTCATTTCCTTTTCCAAAGGGAATTCACCTTTTCAGCATCTGGCATGAAGCGGACATCTCCACATAAGAATGTGCTCCAGTCTATACATTAAATAGAGCATATGGGAGAGAAATCTATTTTGGTTCGTTTTGCAATAATTTTCTTATTTACAAATTTCATCATATTCCACACAAAATGAACTGGCAAGTTAAAAAAAACTGGGAGAAAGCCAATCTGACAAATATTTTCATCCATAATGATTTCCATCATTAAAAAATGTCTCACCTGGTAAAAATACCAACACACTTCCACGTTCCGACATGTATTCCAGATTAGGATTTTCTGCCCTGGTATTAGAAAGAACAGGTTGCATTAACTCCACAATAAATTTATTTATTTACAGTATTTATATTCCACCCTTCTCACCTCGCAGGGGACTCAGGGCGGATTACAATGCATATTTCCATGGCAAACATTCAATGCCATTAGACATACAACATATATAGAACAGACACAGGGGTAATTTAACATTCCAGCTTTCCGACTTCATGAGGGTATGCTCAATTCCAGTCACAAGGGGAGGTGTCCCTTCATTGTCCACTTGTGACACCAAGTCCTTTGATGGAGTACATCCTCATTCTCCTGCACGCTGCTGGAGGTTTGTTTGTTTTTTTATGGTGTCGTAAATTAATTAAATTTGCCTCCCCGCATAAAGCAGTACCTAAATTTCCTACTTGGCAGATGTAACTGTCTTTCAGGCTGCATAGGTCAACAGCAAACTAGACTATTAATGGTAGGGAGCTCACTCCGACTAGGGCAGGCTTCTAACTCATGACCTCTCGGTCAGTAGTGATTTAATGCAGCAGACTACTAACTAGCTGTGCCACAGCCCGGTCCACTTGTGATCTATTTTTCTGAAGAGCCTAAGGAATGATATTGTTTTGTTATATCAACTTTTCATTTTCTGTTTAAAATTATTCTGTGAATGAAACAGATGTGTTTACAAAACTGTTACCGAAAGCTACGTGGTTTTTATTTTCTTACATACCCATACATGATAAAAGCTAAGAGGGAAACATCGCTTACAGCATCAACTGAAGGCAAGTCATTCTCATTCTCAATGTTATTTCAGATACAGAAAAGCTGTATTAAAAGCTTTTACAAAAAAAATGTGCCTTCAAGTCCCCAGTCAACTTTTGGTGACCCCATGAACTTCACAGACAAGGAACATTCAGAGGTGGTATTGCCAGTTCCTTCCTTTTTAAATATAGTCTACAGAACTTGACATTTGTTGGTGTTCTCCCATCCAAGTACTAACCAGGGCTGGCCCTGCTTAGCTTCCAATATCAGAGGAGATCTGGCACCCTGAAGGCATTTAGGCTCTATAGCATTCTCCTTTTAACGCACAGCAGTGTACAGCTGGCCCAAACTAGAAAGCAGCTGCCAGAAAAGGCAATGAGATAATGTAATTGTACTGATGTTTAAGGTCATTTCTGAACAATGAAAAATAAAGTAAAAAAATGAAAGGTTTCCCAACAGGCATCTGCACTTTATCGTGGACAGGAAGAATTGAAGTACACCAGTCACTTTGATGCAGTCTCTTCTGAAGCGTACAGCTGAATGCCATGAGACAGTTTGCAAAATGCCTGCAAAGTCCATGGCTCAGTTCTGTATAATAGCTTGCAAAGTGCCCAGCTAAGTTATCTGCAAGTTTATTTGTTGTCACTGATCTGCAATCGGAGAGAGCGGTTGCTGTTGTTAACAGCCATCAAGTCAGCTAAGTCTCATTTGGAAGCTATGGATGAAAGACCTCCAAGTCACCCTGTCATCAGATCTTGCAAACTTAGGGCTGTGGATTCCTTCATTCCAGTCTATGAGGTAACAGCCTAGGAATGTATTTAAGCTTTATATAACCAATGGAATGAATTAAAAACCCTTGAGGATAAAGTGTATTTGTCCCATGGGCTGAAGATTCCCCATATGTCCTCCACAAAGAGTCACGATAAAAGAGCTGAAAGACCAAGAACAATAACAATAACAATAATATGTCCGACATGTGATCCAATTCAACAGCCAGCAGAGAATCTGCTGTGGACTCATCTTGTTGTTTCAAATCATCATCATCATCATCTTTATTTATACCCCGCCACTCTCCCCAACCGGGACTCAGGGCGACTAACATGAAGCCAGACCCAAAATTATAACAAAACAGATACAAAACAAGCAACGAGAGTAAAGACAAAGAGGAAATGTGTTCTTGCCATACACATCAAGGGAATCACTGACTGCATAGGGATGCTGATGAGGAAACACAATCTACAAACTATCTTGATGGGGAGATATTGGAAAAAAATAGATATTTATTTATGTATAAATTGTATGTACTTTACAAGCATTGAAATGTATAGAAAAATCAGGCTCTCTCTGTATCAGAAACCCAAGCTGACAGGACAAGCAAGCTGCGTCTAGGCACAGCAAGAGGGAGGGGAACATTCCAAGGGAGATAAGCCCATCCTAGCAGCAACAGAGACTGGTACAACTAGGCTCTAAGAGAGGAGCCTATATCTCCCTCATGACAGGTCAAAGTACGCCCCTTGATTGATGAATGTAAGCTGTATGCTGCTCCTAGAAAGAAATATAGAACATGCCTTTTGTATGTTGGAAGACAAAATTTGATATTCCTATGATGCTAAAGTGACACAGAGAATGATGTCAATGTATGTAGAAGCATGTTCTTTGTTTGCCTGCAATTGGAGGGTATAAAAGCCTATATCAGGGCTCTGGATGCTTTTGGACACAACTCCACTCCAGGGTCCCAGCTGGAAATAAAAGCCGTACTTTTCTGACCTCCTGAAATTATCTCTCTTGATATAATCCCTCCTATAATATGCTTCAACAATCTAGAGACCCACTAATAAAATCCAACAAACGCTACGTTCAACAAAGGACAAGAGGGATCCTTTCATCTCTGCAGAAGTCTAATGTACACCATGCAGCTCTGGACAAGTCTACATAGGGACCACCAAACGCAGAAGCACCAAACAAAAATCAAGGAACATGAAAGGCACTGCAGACTACTTCAACCAGAGAAGTCAGCCATAGCAGAGCATCTGATGAACCAACCTGGACACAGCATATTATTTGAGAACACAGATATGCTGGACCACTCTAACCACTACCATGTCAGGCTACACAGAGAAGCCATTGAAATCCACAAGCATGTGGACAATTTCAACAGAAAGGAAGAAACCATGAAAATGAACAAAATCTGGCTACCAGTATTAAAAAAAATAAAAATTGTAACACTAAATAAAGAACAACACTCAAACACAGGGGAACTCCAGACAAGAAACAATCAGGGACAGCTAATCACATCTCAACAAAGAATTCCCCCAGGCACACCTAAAAACCTAAAAACTATCGTGCCATCAAATGATAATCAAGGTGGCCAATTGAAACATTCACACCTAGCTCCAACAGACAAGAGTTTTTTCTCCCACCCTGGAAATTCCACAGATATATAAACCCAATTTTCCTAGTTTCAACAGACCTCACAACCTCTGAGGATGCCTGCCATAGATGCAGGCGAAATGTCAGGAGAGAATGCTTCTAGAACATGGCCATACAGCCTGAAAACCCTACAACAACCCAGTCACTGTAAATTCCCACAAGCCTGACATATTCAATTCTGTATAAATCCATATATGCATTAATGTTCCAATTTCCTTGCAGCCAGCATTCACATTCTCATTCCGAAATATGGACCACAATTCTATCCACATCAGCAAGAAATCAAGATAAGTGGTAAGATCACTGTAGTTCACCTACATCCAGAGAGCACTATGAACCCAAACAACAATGGATCTGGACCAAACATGGCACTCATACCCATCATGGCCAACTTTGAATACTGTTGGGGGGGGGGAGGTTGGAGGGGGGGCAATCCTGAATTTAGGCAATTATAGTTCATTTTCATCCAAAGAGTGCTGTGAACCCAAACGACAATGGATCTGGATCAAACTTGGCACAAAGACCCAACATGGTCATTGTCAATTTGGAATATGGGCAGACTTGGGGCAATGACAGATGATGATGGGAGTTGTAGTTTACCCTTATTCTTATGCCTTTTTTTTTTTAGTCCTATCTCATCAGCCAAAAGCAAGCCAACACTTCTCACTGAAATACTAATAAGTTTATATTTGTTAAAGTTGTTCTTCATTTTAATTATTGTATTGTTTTAAGTGTTTTTGCACTACAAATAAGATGTGTGCAGTGTGCATAGGAATTCATTCATGTTTTTTTCAAATTATAATCCGGCCCTCCAACAGTTTGAGGGACTATGATCTGGCCCTCTGTTTAAAAAGTTTGTGGACCCCTGCTCCTAGCTGATCCCCATCATGGGGTTTTCTGGGAGTAAAGTGTGGTTCGCCTAAAGTTATCCAATAGGTTTCCATGGCTGAGAGGATAACTGAATCCTAGTCTCCAGAGTTGTAATCAAACTATTATACACATGGATAGATAGTTGGTTGTTTTTGTTTCTGCTGTTGTTGTTGTTTAAAGAACCTTGCTGAGCTAATGGCAATTTTAATTTCACTCAAACTTTGCAAACTTCAAATGGTAATCAGGTTTTCATTTGACTTGCATGATTTAGGAAGCTGAACGTCAAGAAGACAGGCAAACTAATAAATAAGTGTCCTGTAATTTCAGGCATGTTTTAATTAGGACACAAAACGCCATCCTGCCAAATTACGATGCTAAATCATTTTGACAAACGCCCCCCCCCCCATAAGCCTTACCAAGAGCTTTCTAAATATAAGCACAGATGGCCTCTTTATATTTGCGTATGAAATGAATCAGTTTTACAAAGCGCAAAACAAGCGCATCCGCTTTATAGGCACGATGAGACCATGACATGAAATGCCGTGGATCTCCAATTCTATGCGCAGCATCATAATGCCATAATGTTTTTTAATTATCATTATTATGCAATGTGAATCATACATTTGGTAGCTGAGGCTCCAGGATTTCGTTTTGTTAATGCCTCTTTGAAAGTAAAAAAGGCAACAAAGGTAGAAAAGGCATGTTACTTACTTAGGCGATCCCTCATAGTCTGAGGATGATGGTCCTCCAAGGTCGGTGTTCTGTCGGTGGGTCCATAGGTGACTGTGGAGCCCAATTCTTGATCTGCATCTTCTCCTGCAGTGAGGGCATTGGTTTCCAAGTGGAAGTTGGAAGTCGGGGTTGGCTTGATGCGCCTTCCTCTTGGCACATTTCTCTCTTTTGCCCTCCATTCGTGCCTCTTCAAACTCCACAGCACTGCTGGTCACAGCTGACCTCCAGCTGGAGG